GTTTACATTTACATTTAATGTTTGATTTACGTAAGATTGTGGCGAATGTACTTTCTATAGCCTACTTCTTCCCCTCTGTACTGTTTAGCTGCAGTAACATGTTTGTAAAATATTAATGTCTCTCTCGATGGTCAGAGTCGTGGACACAAATGCCAGTTTGAACTCTGTGTCAGTCTGTGTGTTACTTTAGACCATTCAGTCCTTTATAAAAGGTATTTTGTTCATATCCACAGTTTGTGTGTGTGTGTGTGTGTGTGTGTGTGTGTGTGTGTGTGTGTGTGTGTGTGTGTGTGTGGTGTGTGTGTGTGTGTGTGTGTGTGTGTGTGTGTGTGTGTGTGTGTGTGTGTGTGTGTGTGTGTGTGTGTGTGTGTGTGTGTGTGTGTGTGTGTGTGTGTGTGTGTGTGTGTGTGTGTGTGTGTGTGTGTGTGTGTGTGTGTGTGTGTGTGTGTCTGTAACACTGGCCCAGGAAACTGCAGATCAGTCACACTGAGGAGGAAGCATCTGTCTATGAGGAAACTGGATTTGAAATCGTTCATTTGGAAGTTTAGCGCCATCATGTGGGTGTCTTCATTATTTCTGCATTACATGTGAACGTGTTATTAGACACAAAAGCCAATTATTGTTTTTGTTTTCCATAAGATTATGTGACTTTCACTGAGATATGATATCTTAAATTATGTCAGTGCTATTGCTTTGTCTCAAGATTTACACCAGTGATGTTTTTTTTTCTAATGCACGTTTATAAAAGCAGCTTAAATGCCCTGATTGTTCTAAAGCCTATAATCCTGGCTTGATTTTAGCCTTGTCTGTGAAACCAGGGGCCTGTACCATGATGGTAGTTGAACAAACTCCAGGTTGCAGGATTAGTTTTGAGTTGACAAACCCAAACCAAGCCAACCAGGCTTTGTTGGTACCATGATGCAGATCATCACCTCTCTCCACTCAGGCTTTATCCCGAGTTTAGGACTTCAGGTGTGAGTGCAAGTAAAAGTTGATAGTTTATGGTGGATAAAGGTATAGAGAGAATTGAACATTTAAACTCACACATAGTTATTTTATAGCTTTCTAAAGCGTATTTATATTATATGTTATATATTTATTCATTTAAACTCTGCATAATAATAATAATAATAATAATTGATGAACTAAAATTGTACATGTGTGATTGATTAAGGGTATAATAATTACATAAATAATATTTAAATCATACAAATTTATTATTCTAAGCATTTATTATAAGCATTACTAAAAGCCAGATGTTTTTGTCTTTAATAATCATTTGCTAGTGATCTATAATTTGGAGTGGAAACATGTGGAGTGACATGTGAAACTTTAATCACAGCTGATTCACCTGGAGCATCACCTGACCCGGGCCAGTTAGCCGTGGAGCGTGAGTTACTATGGCGATAAACACGCTAAAAGCCAAACCACTTTCATGGTGCCTAAAACTCAGGGTTGGCGCAAACTAAACAGAAACACACCTGGCTAGCCACCTAAACCGGCTTATGGTATAGACCACAGGAATATGTTTCTGAAATTTAGACTAAAAACACATCTCTTTTACCTGGCATTCACATAGAACATTATACATTTCTATTATTCAAATCAGTTAAATGATTATTAGGCTGCATAGATTATGTCAGCCAGAACCGGTGACAATAACACCCAATGTACTCGTTACATCATGAGAAGAATGGCATCTACGCAAATGAGGTCTGAGGTTTACTGAAGTCAGCTGAATCTGGGCCGTATCCAGATCTGATGGAGGACCTGCGCCTGGACACGTCCACAACAAATCACTGCAGTGCCAGCCTCATCAGCCCTGTGAAGGCCTCATCGACACTTCTACAAACCAGTCTCCATACCGGCATGACTCCGACCTCCAACCAGATGAACTGCATGCATAATATTCTGATGTTCTGGTCCAATCTGACTTTCTGACCTGTAAATGCTGCCTGAATCATAATCACACACTGTTCACTTGTTGGCCAGAGAACTGAGCAACTGAATCTGGGTTCTCCCAAGGTTTTTTTTTTCTCACTGTAAAAAATATTTTCAAGATTTGTTATCACAACATATTTTCTTTTGTCAGATCAACTTTATAATCATTTATTTAGTTGAGATAACTTATTATTTTGAGTTTCTGATGGTCAAATTAATCTACTTCATTGTATTAACTCACTTTTTCCAGTTCAATCAACTTAAAATTTTAAGGCAACCCAGGTTACTTACTTTTTTAAGTTAAACCAATTTTTTTACATTGTAGTAATCACAACATTTTTTATTTTGTCAATTCAACTTAAATAATTTATTTAGTTCAGATAAAATATAATTTTGAGTTTCTGGTGGTTAAATTAATCTCCTTCATTGTATTAACTCAATTTTTCCAGTTCAATGAACTTAAAATTTTAAGGCAACCAGGTTACTTACTTTTTTAAGTTAAACCATCAATATTTTTTTTACAGTGCTCTGATGGAGGTTTGGTTCCTCTCCACTGTTGCCTTGGCTTTTGGCTTGCTATAGTTGGGGACATTTAATATTCAACAATATTACTGTATCTGTACTTCAGGTGGCTTATGATATAATATTGATCTGGGATGTATTATGTTATCACTGTGTGAAGCTGCTTTGAGACAATCTGTATTGTACAAAGCGCTATATAAATAAAGGTGACTTAACTTGACTTGGACGATGATGACGCAATTTTCTTCTAGAAACAAACTTTTTTCTATTATTTTCATGTTATCTCTGTAAAGCTGTTTTGATACAATCTGTATTGTAAAGAACTATATAAATAAATGTGACTTGACTTGAAAGATGTCTATTCTGCTCACCAGGGCTGCATTTATTTAATTAGCAACATAATGAAATGAAACATTCCACCAAAAGGGGGACATTTCTGTCCCCATGACATTATATGTATAAAATTGCATGAAAATTAACTCTAAAATATATTTTATTATTAAGCAAAATGTCATGCACATTAAGCTAACTACAAATTTACATTAATAAAACAACACAGAACAACATTAATAAAAACAACACAGAACACTAAAAAATAGTACTTTCTGCATGTCCCAACTCTCTATCTCTAAACTTTACCATGAAATATTTTGATTAAAATCCTTCAGAAATCTGGAAGACATTTTTCTTGCATTGTTGTGCGACTTTATATCCAAACCGCTTTAAAATGAAAAAAGAAAAAAACAAAACATTTAATCTAATATTTTAGATAAAATACACATTTTTGTCATGTCCCCGGGTTTTCACTCAGTTCTGTTAGACTCTTACTTCCCCCCTCTGAAAAAAGTAGAATATTCCACAAGACACATTTTCAACAGTAAGTTGCATCATCTGCATCTTCTGAAGGCAATGGGGCGACCATAAATCACTCCTCTCATTTTAATTTCTGTATATTTGATGAAATTGTAATTATGAATGAGAAGGTCAATCTCAACATACAGTCCTGTTACCTAACTTTTTTTTATTATTATTTAATTGTTTTATTTTAAAAATATTAACTTTTGGTAAGGCACTAGAAATGGCTCAGTGTCTTCACGCTATTAGTATCAATGCTATGTGGTCATATGCCATATATTTGATAACTTTTTGTTTAAAACTAAATCCTGTTTCAGCACTGTTACTATTTTTTTCTTTTTCTAAAAAATAAATAAAATTAAACCACTATTTTTATCAGTTTTGTTTGGCCCATAATTTATGCAATTATTTAATGAATTAATTCTAAAAAAAAAAATTCTTTAAAAATGAAAAAATGCCTTTGTGTGTTTCTGCTTAAACCTTTTAAAAAAATTAATAAAGTTGCCTGAGATTGACCAATACACATTTTAAATTAAATATGTGTAGTATTACATTCAATGTTGAAAAAGATCAAAAATAATGTTTATTTTTGAAGAGTTACAACAAGCAAATGTCATGCATTCGGTGGAATGGCCCAAATATTACTAAGTAAAACAACTGTTTTATGTGTGAATGTATTCCTGTGATCAAAGCTGAATTTTCAGCATCATTACTCCAGTCTTCAGTGTCACATGATCCGAAATCACTCTAATATGATTTGATGATCAAGGAACATTTCTCGTTATTATTAATGCTGAAAAGAAAAGTTTAAATGTTGTGGAAATCGTGATACACTCACATTAAAAAGTTTTGGGAAAGTGAGATTTAAAAATGTTTTTACCTTTATTCTGCAAGGATGCTTTACATTTAACAAAAGAGACAATAAAGACATTAGTAATGTTACAAAAGATTTATCAAAATGCGAAATGAAAAATGCATGAAATTTATGTTTATCAAAGAATCCTGAATAAATCCTGAAAATATTAAGCAGCAAACATAGTTTTCATCATTGATAATAAGAACCAGCACCAATAATAACTTATCAGACTCTGAAGACTGCATGATGACTGCATACATAATGAGATGTGTATATATTCAAAAAGAAAACAGATATTCAACATTATAATAATATTTCACAATATTATTGTTTTACAGTATTTTAGATTAAATAAATGCAGGCTTAAGAGACTTAGACTTAATTCAAAAACATTACACCTCGTTTTGATCAATGGTGTAAATGTACAAAAAAGCACAGTACTTATTTTATGAATATTACCTGAATTGTTACCTGTCAGTAAAACAGTGACAAAGCACTTATGATTTATATACAAAAGTTATTGTTTGTACATATTTCCATATTGTTTAATCATATAAAACAAACAATTGGGCATGTTTAATGCATGTGGATGTGAGAATGAGTTTCTGCTAATGCACTTTTGGGCCCTGCCTACTTTACATAGACCGCAGTTTATTAGATTATGAGAGGACTTTCATTTTTTTGTTTCCTGAAGTGGGAGAGAAGCGAGTTTCCTCCTGGGCGTAGAGTTTGTACTTTGTGAGTTTGTATTTTCGAGATAACGAATATAACTTCAAAGCGAGTGCGGTTTAAAGTCTCTTGCGCATGCGCGGTAGCGTCTGAGGGTATTTAAATATGGGGTGAAAATTCCAGCAGCTCCATAAGCACACACGGTTTTTCTCCTTCTCATGTCCAGTGTGTGTGTGTGAGTTACACAGGAAGATGATGAGCTGGGCCATAGCCACTCTGGCTGTCGGGATCGCCACTCTCTTGCTCGTCCAGAGGAAGTTGTACCCGTACTTCTGGGAAGACTTGCTGTATTACGTGAGGGTACGGCTGGTGGGGAAGGCGATGATGGCGAGGATGAAGCGCGGAGTTGTCACATATCTCCAGTGCTTTGAGCATCAAGCCAGAAACATCCCCCAGAAAGCGTTCATCGTGTTTGAGGACCAGGTGCTCTCGTACAGGGACGCAGATGTGCGCAGTAACCAATTCGCGAACGTGTTGCGGTCTCACTGCGGGCTGAGACACGGGGATATCGTGGCGCTCCTCATGAACAACGAGCCTGACTTCATCTTCGTCTGGTTCGGGCTCTGCAAGCTGGGCTGTGAGGTCGCGTTTCTCAACTTTAACATCAAATCCCAGTCTCTGCTGCATTGTCTGCACAGCTGTGGCGCTAAAGCGCTCGTCGTCGGCTCAGGTAAGCGACGCGACGCTCGGGTTTAAGTTAGCGTTAACATAATCGACTTAAGTTAACTGTGGGGAGCTCAGAAATGTTATTATCACGCTATGTAACTGCAACACATAGAGACCTTTACCCATCAGTCGTTTCCTTATTTCACTGGCCTTCTTCCCATCAAGCTGAAGTTAAGATGAACATGTTGATCCCATAGACTGTAAAAAAAGAGGTTGATCCTGTGAGAAGGAGTGTGACGAGCAGCACGGAGGTCCTTCACTACCGCTAGCCTTCATGCTAGTTCTTTTGGTTGCTTATTTTGTATTGTTTGCTTTTAAAACAAATTACAAAAAACAAGGAAATTTTGACCAAAGAAATCTTTATTGAATATTGTTTAAAAAAAAAAAAAAAACTTGGTGCTTTTGGTATTGTTTATTTAACGTTATAATTATTATTATTATTTTCATTTTCCCTTGCGAAAGGGTGGTTTCTAGGTTGTCAGTTATTAGAAGTGACGACAAAACAAAAACAAATCCGGGTAGATAACTTGCAAATTGTAATAACAAAGTCTATTACATTTTGATGTACTTTTTGATTACTTTTAGTTTATTTTTGACCTAACTCTTTTTCACATAGATTTTTTTGAATAGGATATAATCTTGTGCCATATTAATATAAAAATACAAAGATAAAGAAAATATTTTCCATTCTCTTTCAACGATATGTGTATTAAATTTTACGTTACGTTACGTCTGGGGTTTGGGAGTTTAATGAAAATCAAAAATTAAATTAAAATTCATTTTAAATTAAATGTAAAAAAAAAATCGAAATAAAACAATTTTTAGAAATTATTTTTAAAAATGATTGTATTTGTTTACCTGAATGTTATTGTCCAATAATAGAATAGAAGTTCATGTTTCTCAAATATCAGTTAATGGTCACATAAATTGAACCGTGAATGTCTATTCTATTATTGGACTTTATTTAAGTGACCTAAAATAACTTCTCAATGGATACACAATCTCAGTGGATATACTTCAAGTAATTATATTTGGTCAAAGACGTTCAGCTTGACAGAAAATTTGGGGAATTGCATGTGAATATGAAATGATGTGAATTTGTACATTTGAATGTGTTTGGAAGACAAAAGTCTTCTGAAGACGGTAACACATAATGTCCTGATCTTGTCCTGTGCTTGTAGACCTGATGGTGTCTCTTGAGGAGGTGCTGCCGACACTGATGGACTCTGGGATAGATGTGTTTGTGGCAGCAGAGAGTTCCTCACTGAAGGACTCTGGGATAGATGTGTGTGTAGCAGCAGAGAGATCCTCACTGAAGAACATCAGGACTCTGCTGGACCAGCTGGACTCAGCCTCCCCAGAGAAGCCTGAGCTTGATGCTCCTCCACCAAACCTCATGGACAACTTCTTGTTCATCTTCACATCTGGCACTACAGGTGAAGTACACACAGAAAACACCAACAGCGGTTACTCTATTACGGTTCAGGACGGCAGCAAACACATCTCTAGCCCTTCATCAGCACTGAGGCACAGCCATGCCCACATCCATATTTTGATATTTTTAAAGGCAGTTATGAAAATAAATAGTCTTTACTTGTACAGTAGTACAGAGCAACACATGCAATAAAGCCCTGCCTTGTCGGCAGAAGACAAGACGCACATTGATCCAGCACAAACACACATTGCGTCGGTCATGGATCATCTTCCCTGAGGGCGTGATTATATCTTGGCCCTTTCCTCTATTCCCCGACTCCCCAGGCACTTCTTACATCAGGCTTGAGGCTGGCTCATGGTTAGAACAATGTTCTGATGGCCCGCTTTGACTTGGTTGGTTAGAGCGTCTCTTTCAGGCATGTAAAGGCGGTAGACCCGTGTTCACAAAGAACAGTCTGGTGTAGAAGAACTATGGAGTAGGTGATGTGGGACTATTTCAGTCTTTATGTTGCACTGATGGTCTCCTGTTTTTCTCTGGTTCTCAGGACTGCCGAAAGCTGCTCGGATCAGTCACATCAAAGCTGTGATGTGTATGGCCTTCCTCGGCTTGTGTGGCGCTCGTGGCAGTGATCGAGTCTACCTGCCGCTGCCGCTTTACCACATGTCTGCGTCACTTCTCGGCATCGGCGGGTGCATCCAGCTCGGTATGAGCTTACTAACACAGGGACAAACCACTTGCTTTTCTGCACTATATATTGTATGTGGCGTCTGTAAAGCTTCCATATACTGTAAATATTGCTAGTGTTAGAAAGCAGTTGACTGTGAAAAGTTTCTGCACGTGTAATCTGACCCTGATATGGAGCATTGTGTTTCAGGGGCGACGTGTGTTTTGAAGAGGAAGTTCTCTGCCAGTCAGTTTTGGAAGGACTGTCTGAAGTATGATATTACTGTGTTTCAGTATATTGGAGAACTCTGTCGGTATTTGGTCAATCAACCAAAGGTACTGAAGTTTGTACTTCATGCTAACACATGTGCTGCATTTTTAGGGGTTTTGTTTCTAGTTGACATTGTTTGGTAACACTTTACAATAATAGTACATGAATAGTCATGTACTAATACCTGAATTTATAATTACTTTACTATGAACTAATGATGAGTTAAGACGTGTACTAATGAGAAACTAACCTTAACTACGACATGAGACATAAGAATTCCTGTGTGAATATACCATCTTACCTACATGTTTGTACATGCTTGTTAATGCATTAATTAACATTTCGGGGTAAAATAAATCAACCTTGCTCTAGACAATGGACATATTTTGTGGCTCAAAAGAAGAGCAAGAACCCTAACTGACTAACATCCAACTGCAGCATTATGATATAAAGACAGTAAACCAATCCATAAAATAACCACATAAATAACCATCATCTGTGTTAAAGGTGGAATACCTAAGATTTTTGCATTAAAATATACCAAAATCACAAGGCCAGTGTTATATATTTAGTTAAGATGATAACTTACAATATTCCAAATGTTTCAAACAATGTTTAAATCGCGAGAAAATTGAGATTTTAACCAAGGAAACGGGGCGTATGAGCAGGGGTGAGCTGGGAGTCGCCAGTCAATCGCGTCATATCCGCTTACCTCGGTTTCCGCTCGTACTACGTGTAGTCCTGGACAAATGCGGTAGTTGTAGTTGTGCGTTAGCGTCTATCGAGCAACAAACGTCAGCTTGTTTCGCGCATTTGTTATGGAATGGAGCACAATTATTCTTCTCATTTATTCTCGGAATGTGAACTGTTGGCTGTAAAGGGGGTCGCACACCGGACGAGAAGCGCCGCGCCACGTTTAGGACAACTCCACAGTAACGTTATCGAACACCGGACGCGCACTTTCTCATCAGTGTATGGCCAGCAATATTGTTATGTTTAATGACAGGAAATGAAGATAATGTATGTTTTATGTTATGATTGTACTGTACAATTAAACACAATCGTTGCTGAGTCTGCAGTCTGAAAACTTTACCTCAGAGCATCCGTTCACTGAATGAATTGAGAATCTCACCTGAAAAATCTAATAACATCAGCAATTGTCATTCAAGCAGCTGATTTCTGTAAATGAATGCAAAACTAAATGCATATTGCAGCATAGGGCGAAGTCAGGATCCATCAGCAACGATTTGAGGCAAAAATAATAAAAATTGTATACAAAACTATGTAAATGGCGCTCTGTGGAGCAGCAGGATTTTGAACACGGTCCTGAGGAGTTGCTGGCGCCGCGGACAGACGCCGAATTGCGCCTCGCCGGTATGTGTGCACTTATAGATAATAATGTGT